TGACTGGAGTTCAGACGTGTGCTCTTCCGATTTGGAAACGCAATCCTAACAACTAGTGTAGAAATTAATTAAAGTTGATATTTATATTAAGTATTTTCAAAGAAGTTTGATTAATAATAATTGTCAAAAGCCATACGTTTTATTTGAAAAAATGCATAAACTCTGTTTTTTTTTATTTATTCTTGTGTAATTTTATTTCTTTTGGATTATTACATTATCAGCAATAAATATATGCTTGTTATATTATAAAATTTTAAAATTTTGAAAACTGTATCAAAGTGTTGCAAATGTGAAATGTGATAGGTTTTATTAGTTTTATGAATATATACGTAAAATTTTCATCCATTAAATTTTTCTACCTCTTGGGGAAAAAATCGAAAAAATCCGCGAATAAATTGAAGAAAAAATCGGTTTTCTTTCCAGATTTTAAATCTATATGTGTATGAATATTGGTAAAAATAAAAAAAATGTCTACTATTTGCTAAACAACTTAAAGCCTTGGCTTTTTCGTTACTTTTTGTTTGACTGCTCGAATTTAGATTTCTATAATACATTCCCAAAATGATAAAAGCTTAGTATAATATACTGTTTAAGTAAATAGTAGACGGTTTTTTATTTTTAGCGTTAATAAAAGGTTTCTTTCTTACTATGAAATTTTTAAATCTATTTTTACTTAATCTCCTCAGCTTAATTCTCATCATTCTTTTGTATAAGTAAACAAGATTTAAATTTTCTTTGATGGCTCGAGCTGATATAGCAAAATTCCTTTTTACTTCTCGATTTATCATCCTGTCATTTCCCATCGATGTTTTTCTTGGTTTGCCACATTTTTCTAAATCATTTACAGTGCCGTATTTGTCGTTTTTGTCATAAATTTTCTTCACTCCCATTATGGAAATTTCGCATCTTTTTGAAATTTCTTTTAATCCTAGGCCATTTTTTCTGTCCTTAACTATCATCTGTCTAACATCGACAGACTTTCTTCTATTAACTTTATTCATTTATGTAAGTAATTAAAATTAAAAATAAACAAGTTAGAAGGAACAAAACAAGTACGGTCATCGATTGCGACACTTTCTTTTTTATAGGTTTCAAAACGCACTAATATTTTGCAAATGCGGACCACGATTGGTGTTATACTGTCTCTAGACTAAAGATAGTACACCGTGGTTTGCATTTGCAAAATATCTATAAAGTTATCTATAAAATATTATGTATATTAAATTATATATATTAGAAACCTACAAAAAAAAGTGTCGCAACCGATGTATTCACGACTGTACAGGTAAAGAAAAATCAACAAATTTTTAGTAGTTTATTATAAAATATGTATTTTAAACTTACTTTTGCCCGCCGGAAATTTCGAACAAAATAGATTTGTTAAGATGGTTTTATCGGGCCAATCCTAGTGAAAAGTTAGTCCCTCCATATGACTAATAATTCAACAAAAACAAGTATAATTTAATAAAAACATTTTGCATAGACTGTACATATGCGATTGTATGACGTTTGTGACAACGTCACATTATCGAGTTGGTGTTGAGCGATATAACCACCTTAATGAACAATGCAAGAAAAGTGAAGTAAATTAACGAAAGAAGTCTTACGTCGTTTAAAGTGGCGAGATGCCGCGGAGTAGTTCAGTATGACCGACATCACAAAAAACAATCTAGTATTAAAGTTACCAATACTCATATACACGGATACTGATTTTAATTTTTTTTTGTCTGCCACTGTATGTGATACGAATTGATGTTTAATATATTTTCTGCTACATTAATGATAACAGTAATGATACACAAGCTTTAGATAATTAAATGTACTTTAGTTACGCTTACAGTTTGGCCCTGTAGTATAAAATGTTTTTAGCTGGCTTCGGACATTAAATATGACTCAACACAAAAGCCAATTAAACTCCCAACAAGTCCTGCGAAAGAGAATGACCCTTGTACGATTGCTGCATGGGGTAGAACAGGCAGGGGCCAATCAGTGCATAACAATTTGCGAAAAATGGACGCAAATGTCATGCTTCCAAAAACATGCCAGCCTGCCACTACGGACAAGATTGGCGAGAATGAGTGCTGTACTTATATCAAGCGAGGAAGAGGAACATGCAATGTATGTAATATTATATTATATGTATATAACAAAATCATGCCTGAATGCACATTTGATTTTATTATTGTGCATCTTTTTTTGATGTCATCTTTTTAGATTTAACTTTCCGTTTGTACATTTTGTAATTATTTTGTAAGTATCTTATTAAATCGATTATGATGTTGTATTTGATATCACTTGCGTTCAAATATTACATTTATATGATCCAAGATAGTATTTTATATCATAATTAATTCATGTTTGTGTGCGTAATAGTATTGATCCTTAGAACACAGAATTCTTATATATCGCATTTCTCTCTTTATTATCTTAATTATTTAGCAGTGGTATTAACCGTTAAATTATTTGTATGGTAAATTTTGCCGTCTTACGTAATACCACATTTAGATAAATAAATAATCTATTTTTTTTGTTTCAGGGTGACAGCGGTAGCGGGATGATTCAAACCAGCGATGATATGGAAAATAGAGAAATGGTGGGTTTGGTATCTGGTGGAAAACCGTGCGCCATAGGTTACCCAGATGTATATACTGCTGTTTATCCCTACATATCTTGGATCAAAGAAAAATGTAACATAAAATAAAATGAAAATAATGAAAATGTAAAATAATATTATTTTCTTTATGATGGAGATATTCTTAATTAACACTTAATAAATATATATATCATTGTGCAACAGTACATTATTTATTATTAATTATTATTTATATACATTATTCCTACAACGCTTACTAAATTTTCATCGTTATAATGTAGATGCAAAAAAAACTGAAAAGTTACTTTAATTTCTTTTACAATTGTTTTGACGAAATAATAAGTTACTAAGGATAAACTTCCGAAAACGACCTATCTCCGATTTCAATAAAACTTTGTCAAAAGCTTTAATTTGAGCTAAAATAAAAGCCCTTAAAAGGATTTTCAGCGACTCCTATGAAAAAGCCATTTTTTAAGATTAAATAATATACAAATGTAATAGATAAATATTTCAATCAGGGGATCATCTTCATTGGCCTTGACCTTGACATATCAAGGTCATGGCCCTAAGTGATCTTCAAAAGGTTTTAGTCATTATTTTAAGTTATCAACAAAAAATGTTTCATAAATAAAACGCAATTTTTGTCGTATTTTTCTTGTATATTATATCTCGCCACGCGTGCAAAGTCAAAAACTCATGTAAAACAGTACAAGTTATAGATCTTGGTTTGCAACAATAATTAAATATATATACGGGCTATTCCACGTGAAGCGGATCAGTCATCTCTCAGAAATTTTTTTAATTTTGCACAAAGGTAGTACTTTGGAAGATAAAATTTTGTACCAAAGGATTTTTTTCTTATTGCAAAATTAATCGAGATATAAACAATTAAAAATTAGACTACTTTATTTTTCAAAAATTCATAGCTCTGTTACTAATAATGCTAGCTAACTGCTTTTTTTTTAAATACGCGAAAAATGTTCTAGTTTACGAGAAAAAAATGAAGATTCCAAAAATATTTTGTTTTCCATTGTTTATTTAACAATAAACTTTTTAACAATTTTTTTAACAATTAGGGAGAGAGTCGAAAAATCTGAAAAAATATTTTTTATACTTTCAGTTTTCCTATATTTTAGAAAAAAACTCAAAAACGTGTTTTGTCTCGTTTTCGAGAAAAAAATTTTTTTAGTTCTTGATGTGGGGAAAATCTGTCGACTCTCAGCATGCGACTCTTACTAAAACAGCCAAACTTACAAAATATCCTTACCATACTGCTAGTATGGTGTTCGCAGTCGCTGTTTTGTATTGACTGGAAAGTCAATACTTTATAAAATCGACTTTACAATATTTAACTCTCCAAACAATTTTCTCATTTATTCCGACGAATTCAATTTCTCGCTTGCGTTTTTTTTATTACAGTCTGCTGTACAGTAAATACCTAATCTTGCGTTATAATTATTATCAAGTATTTTGTTGCATTATAATTATATTATGTAATTATATTTTGTTGTATTATAATTATGTTATAATTATATTA